GCTGCAGGGAGAAGGAGGGAGGATGGATGGATAGATAAGTGTGGATAGAAGGAAGGAAGAAAGGATGGATGGATGGATACAGGGAGGGAGATGGATGGAAGATGGAGGGATGGAGGCTGCAGGGAGAAGGAGGGAGGATGGATGGATAGATAAGTGTGGATGGATGGAAGGAAGGAAGAAAGGATGGATGGATGGATACAGGGAGGGAGATGGATGGAAGATGGAGGGATGGAGGCTGCAGGGAGAAGGAGGGAGGATGGATGGATAGATAAGTGTGGATGGAAGGAAGGAAGAAAGGATGGATGGATGGATACAGGGAGGGAGATGGATGGAAGATGGAGGGATGGAGGCTGCAGGGAGAAGGAGGGAGGATGGATGGATAGATAAGTGTGGATGGAAGGAAGGAAGAAAGGATGGATGGATGGATACAGGGAGGGAGATGGATGGAAGATGGAGGGATGGAGGCTGCAGGGAGAAGGAGGGAGGATGGATGGATAGATAAGTGGATAGAAGGAAGGAAGGATGGATGGATGGATACAGGGAGGGAGATGGATGGAAGATGGAGGGATGGAGGCTGCAGGGAGAAGGAGGGAGGATGGATGGATAGATAAGTGTGGATGGAAGGAAGGAAGGAAGGATGGATGGATATAGGATACAGGGTGGGAGATGGATGGATGGATGGAGGCTTCAGGGAGAAGGAGGGAGGATGGATGGGTGGATGGAAGGAAGGATGGGTGGGTGGATGGATGGAGGATACAGGGAGAAGGAGGGAGGATGGATGGATGAATAAATGTGGATGGAAGGAAGAAAGGGTGGGAGGATGGATGGATATAGGATACAGGGAGGGAGATGGATGGAAGATGGAGGCTGCAGGGAGAAGGAGGGAGGATGGATGGATAGATAAGTGTGGATGGAAGGAAGGAAGAAAGGATGGATGGATATAGGAATCAGGGAGAGAGAGGGATGGAGGGTTCAGGGAGAATGAGAGAAGATGGATGGATAGATAAGTGTGGATAGAAGGAAGGAAGGATGGATGGATGGATATAGGATACAGGGAGGGAGATGGATGGAAGATGGAGGGATGGAGGCTGCAGGGAGAAGGAGGGAGGATGGATGGATAGATAGATAAGTATGGATGGAAGGAAGGAAGGAAGGATGGATGGATATAGGATACAGCGAGGGAGATGGATGGAGGGTTCAGGGAGAAGGAGGGAGAATGGATGGATAGATAAGTGTGGATGAATGGAAGGAAGAAAGGATGGAGGGATATAGGATAGAGGAAGGGAGATGGATGGAGGGATGGAGGCTTCAGGGAGAAGGAGGAAGGATGGATGGATAAGTGTGGATGGAAGGATGGATGGATATATATAGGATTCAGGGAGAGGGATGATGGCTGCAGGGAGAAGGAGGGAGGACGGATGGATGGATATAGGATACATGGAGGGGGCTGGATGGAAGATAGAGGCTGCAGGGAGAAGGATGGATGGAAGGATAACACCTCAGTCTGCAAAGAGGTAACACCCTATAACACCCGCGAATTACAGCTGTAATNTGGTGTAATAATTAAGTAGCCACAGGGAATTCTGGGAGTTGAAGTCCAGACATCTTCAAGTTGACAAGGTTGAGAAACACTGTCCTAGACACTTGATTGTTTATACACGAATGCTGGCTGGGGAATTCTGGGAGTTGAAGTCCAGACATCTTCAAGTTGACAAGGTTGAGAAACACTGTCCTAGACACTGAATTGTTTATACACGAATGCTGGCTGGGGAATTCTGGGAGTTGAAGTCCAGACATCTTCAAGTTGCCAAGGTTGAGAAACACTGTAAAATGGATTTACACTCAAGACGTGTCTGCACCACGTGCGAAAGGAAACAAGTTATTTCAATGCAACTCTCTTTATTTCCGCTGCCACCTGATCTCGAGATCAGCTGCATTCCTGCTATTTTAATCCCTGCAGTTGTCATTTTAATTCCTCCCCCCCCCCGCCACCCCCGGCGCGCTTTGAAATATGTTTTTAGCTGCTTCTCCGATGGGAAGCCCCAGGACAGCTATTTTCAACCAGAAAGACAATTCTGGAGATAATAATTGCACAAATATTTTGATTTGTATCTATTGGTTACCTCCCTCGTCTATCATTTTCCGTGCATGGAACAAGGGAGGGGAGGGAGGGGGGGAATAGAATATTTGTTGGTTATTTGTATTTTGGGCAAGCAGGGGTTTCAAAGGGCTTTTAGGGGGGGAAAAACTGCTGTTTTCATTTCTGAATGGCTCTGCTCCAAATTATAGGGAGTCCCCGGCTTACAACAGTGAGTTTAGTGACCATTTGAAGTTACACTGGCCTTGAAAAAAAGTGACACGACCAATTGTCACATTTAGCGACCCTTGTAGCATCCCTAGGCACACGTGATCAAAATCCAGGTGTTTGGCTCGTACTTATGACGGTCGCAGTGTCCCGGGGTCACACAATCCCCTTTTGCAATCTTCTCTTCTCTTCTACATTCTCTTCTATTCTGTTCTGTTCTGTTCTATTTTCTTTTATTCTATTCTATTCCAATTATATTCTAATTCTATTCTCCTCTTTTTTCTCTTCTCTTCTAATTCTCTTCTCTTCTACATTCTATTCTCTTTTCTTCTCTTCTATTTTCTTCTTTCCTCTTCTAATTTTCTTCTCTTCTCTTCTATTCCAATTCTATTCTAATTCTATTCTATTTTCTTCTCTTCCAATTCTTTTCTCTTTTACATTCTATTCTATTCTATTCCAATTCTATTCTAATTCTATTCCCTCTTCTCTTTTTTCTCTTCTCTTCTCTTCTACGTTCTATTCTATTTTCTTCTCCTCTTCTATTTTCTTCTTTTCTCTTCTAATTTTCTTCTCTTCTCTTCCAATTCTTTTCTATTTTACATTCTATTCTATTCTATTCCAATTCTATTCTAATTCTATTCCCTCTTCTCTTCTCTTTTTTCTCTTCTCTTCTAATTCTCTTCTCTTCTACATGCTATTCTCTTTTCTTCTCTTCTCTTTTCTTCTTTTCTCTTCTAATTTTCTTCTCTTCTCTTCCAATTCTTTTCTATTTTACATTCTATTCTATTCTATTCCAATTCTATTCTAATTCTATTCCCTCTTCTAATTCTATTCTATTTTCTTTTATTCTATTCTATTC